CAACTGTTGAACTGTTCAATTATCAATAAACAGAGGTCTGTAGAAGGCCGTAGTGGCCCTCCTCCAAGAGGTCTGCTGCTCCTGTAGCTCACCATATTGTCTCTGCCTCCCCGCCATCTTGGATCTCCCTAGATTGTTTTTTACCATCATTGTTTATTTAATAAGCAAGTAAGATAAAGATTCCATTGTCATCATTAAATCTTAGTCTTCAGAGAACATAATTTCCACAAGGCTGGCCTGAAGACACTCAGATTCTACCAGTTTTTTAGATGTTCATATTTAAGCAGTGTAGTCACTACAGTTACTTTCAGCTTTTTTTCTGAAATCATTGATGGGATGTTTCCAGTAAGGTTTTCCCCTTACTTGGTAGTAGATGAACACATATTTCTTTACTAATGTGCTTCAGACCCTCTTGAATGTCTGGTTCAGCTTGCACACAGCCAGGGCTCCAGCTTTTCTCTTATGTGTCCTTAGAACCCGTAAAGTAGGCAAAAATAGTTTCGCTATCATGCTGCTCTACAGGCTGGCTGAATTCCTTGAAGCCCATCATGGGCACTTCCTCATAGTGGGCCATTGAGACAAATCCTGTTCTTGAGAATTAATACACACTGGAGATCGTCTGGCATCTGGTAAGCTATGGACAGTTGTTGACTGAACAAATAGTCTTTATCCAGTGAAATGTCTGAATGCTGTTCCAACACTGGAGTCCTTTGGTGGTGCAGTTATTTTTGTCTGCTAACCAAAACGTTGCTGGCTTGAGTATACATACCCAGAGATAGTTTAGGAGAAAAGTCAGTGATATACTTCTGAAATGTCAGCCCCGGAATACCCACTGAAACACAGTTCTACTGTGACATGAGTGGGTCACCTTGTGTTGGACCTGACTCAGTGGCAATTGGTTTGACTCCATCATTAAAGGAAGCTCCAAGTCCTTGGGTAAAGAGTTTTCCATTTGATGTCTGGAGACCAATACCCCCACAACTGTAAGACCTGCAATGCTCCTACTCTGTGTAAAGCCCAAAGTGTATCCAAAGGCACCCCAAGTAGGAAGGCCTTTGAATATACCTGATTGGACCAGGACTCCTACTCTCACCCCCTGGAGAAAAACTGCTGTTTGTGTTAGCAATACATCCATTCTTGCCTGCTGTCTTGTAAAACTTTTCCACTGTTACTGGGATGAGATGGTATCTCATTGTGGCTTTGATTTGCATATATCTTATTGCCATTGATTTAGATCATTTCTTCAAATGATCAAATGTCTGTTGGCCATCTGAAGATCTTCCTTGTGAAAACTCTTTCTGTATCTTTTGCCCATTTTATAATTATGTTACCAGTCTTTTTCTTGTGGAGGGCTTGTGGGATTCTGTGAACTTTTGATATGAAACCCTTGTCTGAAATGGTTATTACCAAATGTTTGTTCCCAGTCAGGAGGTTTTCTTTTCACTCTGTTGTTAAATATTTTTGATGCACACAGGGATTTAACCTTTACAAGGTCCCCTTCATCAATTTTATCCTCTCTAGACTGTGCATTTCTGCCTGTATTTATTTGGCAGTCTCTTCCTATCATAGACTAGGCCTTCTAAGCTTCATCCCAGTTTGTCTCTTATGAATTTTATAGTTTGGGGCTTTACTCGCAGGTCTCTAATCCACCTTGAGTTGATTTTTTTATATGGTATGAGATGTAGATCCTGTTTCCGTTTTCTGTAGGTAGCATTCCAGTTTTGTCAGCACCATTTGTTGAAGAGGTTGTCATTTTTAATTTGATAGGCTTTATTTCCTTGTCAAATATCAGTTGCCCATAGATAGATGGATCCATTTCTAGGTGCTCAATTCTGTTCCACTGTTCTATGTGCCTATCATGGTACCAGTATTGTACAGTTTTGGTTACTACAACTGTGTAATGGGTTCTGAGGTGCCTCTCACTTCATTTTTGTTTTTCAGAAGTGCTTTGCTTATTATGGATCTCTTTCCTCTGCATATAAAGTTGACAATTTTCCTTTCTATCTTGAAAAATGAACTTGGCATGTGTATTCATACGGCATTGAACATGTAGATTGCTTTTAGTAGGATTGTCATTTTTACAATATTGAATCTTCCTATCTATGTACAGAAAACATTTTTTCATTTCTTTAGGTCTTTTATTGTGAAGGACTGGTTTTTATCTTGTATTAAACAGGCTGCCTTAAAATTGTCATGGAAAAACATTTTATTAAGAATAATCTATTTGCTTTCAATGACATGCTTAATCTTTCATTTATAGATTATAATATTTGTTTTCTATTCCTTTTTATTTTCTTTTAAAACCAGCACCAAAAAGTAAAAGTATAATGAATACAGTACATAATGTATGGCAATTAACCTAAAATACATATATTTGACTCTGAAACAAACAAAAAGTGATGTTATTATTTCCATTCAGAATCTTTCTTTGTAGACTGATAATATCAAGCTAGGGCAACTGAGGAAGATTTTCTTTTTGTTTACACCAACAAAATAGCACCATAAGGGCACGAAACTCTGTAGATAGTAACATATTTGTTAACCAAAAAGGTACAGTTCTTGAGCAACAGTACAAAGTATTGTCAACAAGACAGAGACATAACTGTTATAATCACAGACTTCACTGTTCTCTGCGCAAAGTGGGACTACAGTGTCTCACTGGTGTCACCAAAATCAGTCAGAGTACGATTATGAATTTCAGAGCCTGAATGCTAGGATTAATTCAGTGAGATCACAAAGAGGAGTTGGAAGCAGGGATGCTCAATGTGATCCAAGATTATGGACATTGACACTTTCAGAACAACTTGGAGAAAGACTAAAATTTAGAAATAGCAGGTAAAGTCACCACTTTTGCACACACACTTCTGAGTGCTTGATTGAGAGGTGGCTGTGGGGCTCCTACACAAATCAGCTCCTCAGCCCCAAGAGGACTTTTTGTTGATTTGAAGCTAGGGAACAAGTAAAACTCAGCTCCCTGGGAATTAAAAGTTTTTGTGGAAAGAGGGCCTTGGGAAGTCTGTTGGTGGCATGCCCACCTGTGTGCATAGCCCCTGTGAAAGTGCTGGTGTTTATTATGCTGCAAGGCGACTCCTCTAGCTTCCTGCATCCACTCTCTCCTCTCTAAGAGCACCAGAAGTTTTCTCACCAGCTTCTTATTAATTTAAGAATTACTTGTCATCATACTATTTCTCTGCTTCGGGGGAATAAAAAATAAAAACAAAAAAACAGCTCCTATGACAGGGGAGAAAATAAGACATGGGTTTTGTCTGCATTTACTTTTTAAATTTATCCTATAGTTGTGAAATTTAAAAAAAAACACCCACAAACTAGTAAAACTATAAACAGAGCACCAATAAACCAAGAAGCACTTGGTGATGACCCTAAAGAAAGTTGCCTACGTATGACATAAACGAGGTGGATTTTTCAAGGGAAAGCCCTTGAACATTAGCACTTGTGAAATGCTCAACATGTTGATAAGCAAAACAGGCCTTGTACTGAGGGTCAATGCTCTCAGTCCAGCCTGTGTCCTGGGCAGCAAGACCCTACCAATTTCTGTGTTCTCAGAGAGGTCCACTTTCTACCCTCACTCAGCTGTTGCGAGTGGGGTGGGGAGGGGACTGAGAAAAGGAAATACCTTTTCTAACTTCCTGGGCATCATTTTTGTCCCACTTGGAAGGCAGGCTATCCCGACGGCTGTGATGATCACAGGGAACACACTATTGGAATTTTACATGATGGCTCTCTAGTGGTGCAGTAGACCCAACTGGCCTCATGACCTTGAAAGAGAACTGCTCTTCAGGGCTAAAGAAGCACTGCAGTCCTAAAATGCAGAGCTCAGAGCTGAATTTGTTCCTAAATTGGTTCTAGAATCAATTTCAGAAATGGCCAAGGTCAATAGAGGTGGGGTAGCATGTATAATAAGGAATGAAGTTTTATAAAATACTTCTAGAGCAGAATACTCCCCCATCCCCGAAGACAGTGGGGAGGAGACCTATGTATCCCAACAAAGCTGTCCTAGCTTATCTTTACATCACGGAGCAATGGCTCTCACCAAATTAGCATATGTCACATATCTTGTTGTTGTTGATTGCTATTGAGTTGAAAAAAACTCATAGCGACCCTATGAACGAAAGACCTGAACCCTGTTCTATAACTATCATCATTTCTCTAAGTTCATAGAGTTTCCAGAGGCATGTTGTTTAGGAAGTGGATGCCACTCCTGCTCACATATCTTAGCACCTTGAAAAGTTACTGTTTCCTATGAAGAGAACAGCTGAGATAGGAAATGAAGATGTAAACCGACCCCCTTCCTGAATATTCTCCTTCACATTGATGCCATGGGGAACTGCACAGGTCTCTTGTCCTTATTGGCTCACACAGATTGAAACTCTCAAGGGTGAAATGGTAAGACAAAGCCCAGGATTTAAAGAAGAATGTATTGTTAGATATATATAGAGGCAAAGCCGTGATGAAGAGTAGTATTGGTTCTTTCTCCAGAAAAGTATCTAGTAGAGGCTGGCAGATACTGGTACTTCAATCTAAATACAGCTTCTTAGAACATTTGGGGATTGCTCCAGTCTTCTGGAACACAAAGCACTGGAAACACAAAGGTTGACGTGAAGCCAAGATGGAAGACCTACTTGCTCCTCTTTCTCCATCACTGTTTTCCAGAGGTGTTCCTTTCTGAGGTACACAGGCCTTAGAAACATTAATTCTCTGTAACTAGACTATTTTTCTTTACTGTAGAGAGCCATCCAGTGGCCACTAATAATACATTAAATAAAAAGTATCAATAGTAAATGTCAAGCCTATTCTAAAGTTCTATGCAGTAGAATTGTGGCAGGCTGTGAGTGGGCGTAGTGTGTTTGGGAGGAATGGCTGCAGGGATGGTCTGCTCAAGAGGCTAGGAGGGTGGACCTCCACCAGGTCACATTGCTTGGACCCACTGGGCAATGGACCTCAAGTCAGACAAGTAAGATAGACATTGCACTGGGGCTGGCTCACACATATAAGCTGGGCTGTGGCTGCTGTGGTGAATGCATCCTGCTGGCATAGAAGTCCCTGCATGTCTGGCAGCAGCGTTGGTACCACCTCATATCCTGGCAAAGGTTCTTCTCCCGGATGACTCGACAGTACACTGTCCACTGGTCACGTGTGCATTTGTAGGTCAGTGCAGCTAGGGTACAGAGGGGAAACAAAGTCCATCAGTTATGGGTGACCTAAAGGCATCAGAGACACTACAACCTTCCCTAGCACACACGAAGAAAGATGGTGTCTTTTGGCTGACACCCCCAAGGGAATCCCCCCTTTACTGCGGTGCACACTAGAGCCTTATTAAAGGCAATAAACTCAAGGCTCTTGCTACAGGGGTTACAGTCTTGCGACTAACCTAACAAGTGGGATGGATCTAATGCTCTGGTAGCTTCACTGAGGACAGCACTAGGTGACAGTGCTTCTGTGATAAATGGAATTTGCTGTTATTTGTTGGCAAGGACACTACAATTATTGGTATTTATAGAATGTACTGAAACAGGGTCTGCACAAACACATAACCTGCATCTCCTTTGTGTCTTAGTCATCTAAGAAGACCCCACTGGAGGCCCTGGGTGTGACTGGGAGGCTTGTGCTTATAAAAGCCAGCAGAACACTTCTGCACCTTTATTCTGTCCCCTCCCCATAGAGCTCATCAATAAAGACCTTCACCTGGTGCTGTTTCTGTGGCAGGGAAAGGATGTTTAGGTGGGAAAATAGTCTCAAAGGAGTTTTATTTGAAAAACAGAAACTCTGATTAAAAGAAGTATGCAATCACTATTAATTAAATGGTCCCTTCTCTTTCTCAAGCCACCACTGGCCTTGAGTGTGGACTGGACAAGAACAGGGACTTTGGGGGCCAGATCTTCATACAGCAGCTCCCTGTGGCTGATTTCTTCTAATCAGAAATACACACACACACACACACACACACACACACACACACACACACACACACCCATATCTTTCATATCTAGAAAGAAGTGTACCCTGCCATCATCCTCACTCCCAGGAGTCCTAAATGGTTTAGGAAACCTACTCACATGTTCCCCAAATGTTGACAGAAGGGCTTAGTGGGGCACTCAAAGTACAGTAGACACTTGACACTAGAGTTAATAAATGTCTTTTCCAAGACAAAGTATGAAACACCTCCTCAGAAACCTCTTACAGCCACATAAATGTAGCCCTCTTCAGACATGAATCAGGCCATAAGAAGGGCTTGTAGGCTTATAGAATTCTATCACCTAAAAAATACAGGGGTGCAGCCCACCTTGTGTGTGAAGAGGCAGAGGCACTCACCCAGCCGTGGGGAACTCACCCAGCCGTGGGGAGGTGATGGTGTTCACATTGATCCGATCATTGCATGCCTCCTGGTGGCACTGTCTATAGGTCGCAGGCTTGGAGAGGGTGGGACACTCATTGCCATGGCGTCCGGTGACCTTGTGCATGCATTGCACCACACGAGACTGCAGGCCCTTCCCACAGGTTGAAGAACACTGTGGAGACAGGAGGCGTATCTGTTATGTATTTGCAGGTAAGAGGGTCTGCCTGATTGAAGACTTCGACTAAAGAGTGAAATCTGAGTTGGAATTGAACAAGATAGTCTTGCTTTCTCAAGTCTCACTGGTTGTCTCTCCTGTACCACTCCCAACCCTCTCACCCCTCCAGCTTAGGCCCCAGTCCCTACGATATGAATCTGGACAATGGGCCAATTTTGGGCTTGAAAGGAGCCTGATGGAGACTGGCATAGCTCCTTAGAAGCAAGAACAGGAAATTTGTCTCACAGGCTTTTGGGCACGTTGTTAGGTGCCAGTTCCTGGAAAAAGGCATCATGTTGGTTAAGGTAGAGGATAAATGAAAGAAAGGAAGACCATAAACAAAATGGATTAACACATTTTTAACACTGTAACCATGGGTTTGAACATGTAGGAAAACATAAAGATGGTGTGGAATACAGTGGTGTTCAGGTCTGATGTTTTTAGGGACACTGTGAGTTGCATTTGACTCAAGGGCACCTAACAATAGCAAGAACAATATAGCATGAGAAACTCAGAAATAAGCAAAGTTAAAGGGGGGAAAAAGCCCCACAATTTTTCTTGCATAACAGAGTCATAAGGCTAACTTTTCATTTATAGGAGTCTCTAGGATCTCTGGTGGTCTAGTGGGCAAGGAAATAGGCTGCTAACCCAAAAGCATGCAGTTCAAATCCAATAGCTGCTCCAACTCCTCCTAGGCTGTGGTTACAACTTCTGAAAATTCACTGGAGGGTCAGTTATTAATTGATTCTGACTCAATGACACACAACAACAACTAAGCAGGGCAACTAGTTAAGTACTTGGCCATTAACCAAGGTTAGTAGTTTCAATCTACCTAAATGAAGCCTGAAAAAGTTTGGTGATATTCCCTAAAGAGCACAGCCACTGAGAACCCGATGGACATTTGTATGGCCACTATGAGTTGCGGCTGACTTGATGGCAATTGGTTTTACTGCTTTTAATTTTGATACCAAATCACTAGTCAGTGGTATTTTAAACACTTGCAGACCTTGCAGGAGAGATGGAGTTCACCGAAACCAAAATCAAAGGGGATGTGGCAGACAATTACAAATATTTGTGAGTAGACTGTTAAAAATGTTGTCTTTCTGTTCTCCCTCTAGATCCTCTCTATACTCTCCTAGAGCATTTTACAGCACGAGTTGTCAGGCAGCCTGCTCTTTGCTCAACCCTGCCCTCCAGTGTGTAAGGCCCTTGCCCACTATCCAGGGAGCTATTGGAACCATGTGTCCTTTGAGATGGGCTTTCCAAGCTGGAGAGCCAGGTCCACAGGGCACCTATCCAAAGATCTGAGAGTGCTGTGCAAAGGTATGATAAAATACAAGCAGGGCAATGGGCAGCAATGGGCTAACATGTAGCTTCCTTGTGTGGAGGGAAGAGCAAGTACTCAAAGAGGTCACATGTGACAAAGATGCCCAATACTGTCCAGATGATGTGTGACCCTGTCTCCTCCTCTCTAGGCCTTCCCTCCACTGTGAAGATTCCTTTCAAACACGGATGAAGACAATCATCTTATCATCAGTGTCAGGTTTCTGTTTGCTCTTGAAGGAGATTTGTGCTAGATTAATTTCTCTGCTTTCTGGTCTGACAAACAGGATTGTATTTATTTCATCCTAGAAGGCTAAAGAAAACTCTTGGGAATGATGGAGTCCCTGGGTAGTGCAAACAGTTAATGTACTCAGCTACTAACAAAAAGACAAATGTAGGTGCCCACTCATTGGCACCTCAGATGAAAGACCTGTTGATTTAAAGTCACCCACTGAAAATCCCATGGAGCACAGGTTTATGCACAGGTTGCCTAAGTCAGAGTCAAGTCAATAGCAGCAATGAATTTCACTAGAGAGGCCCTTCTCTTTTTAGACAACAAAAGGTATGAAATCCACAAAGCAGCGCAACTATGGCAGCTTCAAACCAGAAAGGGCTCCCCATCAACAAAGGAAGGCTGCAGGGTCCATCTCAGGTGGTACTCTGCAACAAGACCTGGCTACACACCTCCATGGCTATCAGACTCAGAAGATTAATTTGTGTACTAAAAATGCAGATTTCTACTCTCTCTCCTGGACCTGAGGAGCTTGCATGTGGGCTCACTGAATGATGAGATCATATAAAGAGGTTTCACACCAAGAGGGAGACTTTCAATTTGATAAGGTGCTACACACAGCAATTCAAATTTCCTCCTGGGTGTCATCTTGAATGGAGCAGGTCTTAAAGGAGGCTGTGCATTGGAGAGTTGTGAAAAATCCAGAGGTCCCAGGCAAATACTATACTCAGAATTTCTAGATTGGGTTAAAGCATGAGTGTTTTTATTATGTATTTTTGAAGGAACTGCTGAAGAAGCTCAATATCAGCTGTAAAAACTAGACCTGGATCCAATTATGGAACAGACCACCAACTTCTCATATGCAAGTTCAAGCTGAAGCTGAGGAAAATTAAACCGAATCCAAGGAAACCAAAATATAACTTTGAGTCTATCCCACCTGAATTTCAGAACCATCTCAAGAACAGGTTTGAGGCCTTGAACATGCAGGAGCGAAGACCAGATGAGTTGTGGGAGGACATCTAGGGTATCATCCAAGAAGAGTGCAAACATTCACTACAAAGACAGAAGAGGAAGAAAAGACCAAATGGATGTCAGAAGAAACCGAAGATTTCACTGGAACGCAGAGAAGCCAAAGCACAAGGAAGAATTCAAGATACTAAAGAGCTAAACAGAAGATTTCAAAAGGCAGCGCGGGATGACAAAGTAAAATATTACAATGAAATGTGCAAGGAGCTGGAGTCAGAAAACCAAAAGGATTGAACTTGCTCAGTATTTCCTAAGCTCAAGGAACTGAAGAAAAAATTCAAACCTAGAGTGGCTATAATCAAGGATGCTTTAGGCAGAGTATTAAATGATTCAGGAATTATCAAAAGAAGATGGAAAGAATATACTGAGTCATTGTATCGAAAGGAATTGGCAGATACAGAAGAATATAATGAAACAACATATGAGCAAGAGCATATGGTGATGAAGGAAGAAGTTCAAGCTGCATTCAAGGGAATAGCAAAAAATAAGGCCCTAGGAATAGATGGTATACCAATTGACACATTTCAGCTAACAGATGCCGCCCTGGATGTGGTCACCAAGTTGTGCCAAGAAATCTGGAGGACAACCACTTGGCCAACTGACTGGAAGAGATCTATGTTTCTTCCCATTCCAAAGAAGGGTGACTCAACAGAGTGTGAAAACTAGAGAATGATATCACTGATTCCACATGCAAGCAAGATTCTACTGAAGAGTATCCAAAAACGACTGGAACAGCACATCAGCAGAGAACTGTCAGAAGTCCAGGCTGGGTTTAGAAGGGGTCGTGGTACTAGGGATATTGTAGCTAATGTTAGATGGATCTTGGCTGAAAGCAGGGAGTACAAGAGGAATGTCTATCTGTGCTTCATTGATTATGCAAAGGCATTTGACTCTGTGGACCATAACAAACTATGGCTGACTGTGAAAAGAATGGGAATCCCAGAACACT